TGCCAGAACCATCGGTCCCATTGTTTTCTCCTCAGGATTGTTTATCTTGCCTATCTTACATAGATAGGCATGAAAACAAGAAGGAAAAGGAATAAAAAAGACATAAGTAGGTCCAGGTCTAAGCAGGTGTAATTTTTTAACCTTCTTAATAGCAGTTCTGCTGCCACAATTTTTTTTAAAGACTATGAAGCACCTATGAACTTCCTGGAATACAGCTATCTCTGTCCAGTTGCATACTTGTTCATCTGTGTTCATCCCCAGCAGCCACATTTATCACACACTTATTAGATTCACATGTGAGTACATCTCTGCAATTTCCATCAGAATCTTTGTCATAGACTTGGCAAAGAACTAAGACTTATCCAGAAAAGCAGGTACCTGCCTTATGTATTCCTTTTCCTACTGTTGTCACTTTCTGTCAAGTTGATTCTACCTCATAAGAGACCCTACAAGATAAAATAGTAATGCCCCACAGGGTTTTCTAACACATAATCTTTATGACAGCACGTCACCAGCCCCCCCCACCCCCCCAAGGGAATGGTTAGTAGATTCAGATGGCCTACTCTCTGTTGGTACTAAGCACTTAATCTTGGGCCACCAGAGTTCTTCCTTTTAATACTACTGCTCCAGCTCTACTGTTCCATGGTAGGGTTTCTGAAACTGTGAATCTTTGTTGTTGTTGTTGTTGTCATACTGTACATCACTATGGGAGCAGATAGCCTCATCTTTCTCCCAGTCAGTGGCTGGCTGGTGGGTTCAAACAGCTGATCTTACAGTTAGCATCCTAATCCACAGTGCCACCCAGGCTCCTTTCTTTTTATACGCAAACTCATTGCCATCAAGTTGATTCTATCTCATAGAGACTCTATAGGACAGAGTAGAACTGCCCCTGCGAGAGTTTCCAGTACTGTTAAGTCTTTATGGGAGTCGAAAGCCTTTTGAACTGCTGCCTTTGTGGTTAATGGCCCAGGTTTGTAACCACTGTGGCACCAGGGCTCCTCTTCTTTTTATCCTTGGGGCACCAATTAATATGGATTCATTTACATAAATTATGTTCCATCTTCTTAGTCCAAAAAGCTTTTTCAATTAAGTTCTTCCTATTAGTGTGTTAAGTGTGCTTTTGTGAAATAGAAGGATCTTCAGTTTAGCTGAAGCTATTTGTTTCAGGCTAACTTAGTAATGTCTGGGTATGTTTTGTGTTTGGGACTTCATATTATAGAATGGATTTCTTTTGGAGGGTGATTAAAGAGGAAACTCCTCCTCTTTTCATAGAGGGAACCACAAGTACATTTTGCTTGAAGTAGGCAATGAAATAGTTACTGTTTCCCCGTTAGGAACTTGGTGGCAGGCCATGGCAGAACGTTCTCATCCTCTGCTTTGTGATCCTTATCCCAGTGACCTGCTAAGTCTTTGTAGGATATTGCCTACCATGTCCCAGTCAGGGAAAGGAGAGTGAGTGCTCAGCTCTCTCTTCCAGCAGCCTTTCTCTATTTGAATGCAGGAAAATGCCTGTCTTTTGGCAACTCTTAAAGGGGGAGGAGAAATACCACTAGAAATGAAACAGCATGTCATGTTGAATGGAAAGTTCTCATGTGATTTGGTGGACTCAAACAAGATTTCAAAATTCTTTGGTTGGTTGACAGGGCAGCTCTTTTTTGTACCTACAAACCTTTAACTTCTCTCATCTTTCCCTCCCCCGCCCAGACAGGCCACACAGCTTTTTAATAATAATGAAATTAAAATTTAAACAAACTTCAGGCCTAATATTTAAT